GGGCCGGGACGGCAGCTTCTTGGTGCGGGACAGCGAGAGCGTGAGCCGAGCCTACGCGCTCTGCGTGCTGTGAGTGCGGGGCCGGGGCCGGGGCCGGGGCCGGGGCGCCGCAGCCGCAACCCCCTCGGGACCGCCGGGGCGTGCAAGCGGCGTGCAAGTGTGCGTGTGGGCACTGAGCGGCCCAGAGTGCAAGTGCAGGGGACCGGGCGGGTGTGTTGTGTAGGTGTCCGGCTGCACCGGGCACGCGTGCAAAGACCAGCCCGGGGTGTTGTGTCAATGGTGTGCAAATGCAGGGGACTGGTCGGGTGTGCAAATGTAGGGGACTGGCCCAGTGTGTGAGTGTAGGGACTGGCCCAGTGTGTTGTGTTGTGTAGGGACCTGTTGAGTGTGCAAATGTAGGGGAATAGATGCTTGTGCAAGTGTAGGGACTGGTCTGGTGTGCAAATGTAGGGTACGGACCCAGTGTGTAGTGTAGCGGACTAGTTGGGTGTGCAAGTGTAGGGGACTGGTTGCTTGTGCAAGTGTAGGGACTGGTCTGGTGTGCAAGTGTAGGGGACTGGTCCGGTGTGCAAGTGTAGGGACCAGTTGGGTGTGCGAAGGTAGGGGACTGGGCAAGTGTGTGAGTGTGGGGACCAATCAGGTGTACAAATGTAGAGGACTGGTTTGGTGTGCAAGGGAAGGACTGGTCTGTAGAGGACTGGTCAGGTGTGTTACGTAGGGACCAGTCAGGTGTGCAAATGTAGGGGATTGGTCGGGTGTGTGAGTGTAGGGACTGGCCCAGCTTGCTGTGTAGGGACCAGTCAGGTGTGCAAATGTAGGGGACTGGTCGGGTGTGCAAGTGAAGGGATTGGTCTGGTGTGTGAATGTACAGGACTGGTTGGGTGTGTGAGTATAGGGACTGGCCCAGCATGTTATGTAGGGACCGATTGGGTGTATGAATGTAGGGGACTGGTCGGGTGTACGTGTGCAGGGCACTGGTCTGGTGTGCAAATGTAGGGATTGATCCAGTGTGCTAGTGTAGGGGACAGATCCAATGTGCAAGTGTAGGGACCGGTCTGGTGTGCTCTGTAGGGGCCAGTCCGGGTTGTGCGTGTAAGGACCGGCCCAGTGTGCGAGTGTAGGGGCTGGCCCGGTGTGTGGTATCGGGGCTTCTCGGCGTGTGACCTCCTCCCATCCCCTGGTTTGGGGTCTGCGGAGGGAAGAGAAAGGAGGTGTCTCTCCTGCTCCAGAAAACTTCCAGCCCCTCTCTCATGGACTGACCCATCAGTGCTCTGGCGTGCGAAGGAGGGACGATGGGAGGGGACATGCCGCGTGTCTGGACACACGTCCACACCAACGCAGCTGACATCAGTTTTGTCCCCTT